CGCGCACCTCCGCCCGCTCCTCTATGCGCACGCCGTCCTGGCGGCTCACATAGGCGGCGTCGTTGGCGCTGCTGTATTCGTAGTCCTCAGGGATGAGCTGCCGAGGAGCAGAGGGTGCAGGGGCCCGTGTGACGGGCGGCGCAGACGTCGGCAGGAGGGGGGGTCAAAAGGGGGCACCAAGGCAGATTCGAGGGGACGAGGGGGCACGATGGGACGGGGCTATCAAGAGGGGGTTGAGAATGACCCAAACCGGGCATGCTGAGGAGGTGGCACGGTGGGAATGAGGCGCCGAGCCGCCGGGCAGCACAGCGCCGCCCTCCCCTTTGTGGGTGCCGCGGGCAGGCGCCCTGCTATGCCGCACTCACATGGCTCGAGACGAATATTTGCAGCGGCCCTGCCTCCGCAAAGAAGCCCATCTGCGCGGCGGCGTTCAAGGTAGTGCGGCGCGCGTGGCGTCAGGGTGCCTCGGGCGGCGGCAGAGCCGCCTGAGGAATCTTTTGAGGGGCCTGCTGCCCGACAGGGCCTTGTCGCGCTGCGCGGGCTCCTCAGCGCCAGCCAACTCGGCCTCGGCTCCGGCACGCGCGCCCACGCGAGCCCGCCGCGCGTCGCAGGTGGGGTGTAAGATCCACGCTCGGGGCGGCGCGCGGCTGCACGGGTGCGACGCGCCCCTGGCCCTGTTTGTGAAGCGAGTGCATGCTGCTTGCAGCTGCACCACTTGGGGCCCTCAAAGGCCCCCAAGTTCACCGGTTCCTGCGGCGCCCTGACGCGCGCGTGTACGCCCCGACGCGCGCGCACACACACGCACACATGCACGCATGCACGCGCGCACGCACGCACGCGCTTGCGCCCGCGTCCGCGCCCACATGCACGCACGGGCGGGCGCGCACGTGCGCCGCGACAAGAGCGCCCGTCGGGCTCCGCTGAGGCGCGCACCTTGTTGACGCTTGTGACAATGCAGTCCAGCACCTCTCCCTTGAAGGGCCGGAACGTCACGCACCCGAACTTGACCTTGAACGTCGCCAGGCCGCTGCCGTCGGATCTGATCTTGCCTTTGCTGATCTCGGTGATCGCGGTCACACACACTATGTAGCCGTAATTACCGCTGCAGGTGCCCTCCACCTGGTATGCGCGGGCGCGTGCGCGGGTCAGCTGGGGCATGCCAGCTGGAGGCCGACAGTCGCTGCAGCGCAACACATCAAGCGCACCTTTTCCGTGATTTTTTGCCCAATGGTTTTTCGTAGCGATGGCCCGAAGTACTGCGGCTCTAGATCTACATTCTGCTCGATAGCTATGTGGAAAAACATTGTGGCCCCTGCCGCAGGCCGGGGGCTGGTGGCGACGCAGCGGCGACGCGACTTGGCGATGCTGCTGCTGCTGCTGCGGGCGCAGTCCTTGCAGTGCCGCCGAAGCCCGCTTGCAGACTGCACCGCTGTTGATTGAGACCAAGTTATTTGTTCTGTATATTAAACACCTCAGGTGTGCGGGCGGCCTAGTTGGAAGCTTGGATAGCACAGCTCGATCACTGATCTGTAGACAGAGCTATAAACCAGGCTCTGGAACAAATAGCGCTGTTAGTCTTGGATGTACATTACATAACTTGTGCACTAGCCGCATAAGGTCGCGGTGATTTTCGCATTACTACGCTAGCTTGCGCGAGCTTATCCTGAAGGAGCTGTGTTTGCGGGTTTTTTCGCCAATCTCTCGATCTACCGTATGCACACATTCTAAGTTTCGAGCACCTCGCGCGCCTCCTGCGACTGCTCACTCCGTCTGCCTCCGTCGCACACCACGCGTGGTTGCAAGCGCCGGTTGCGCGAGTGCCACGATTGGTGCCAAGCCGTCCACAGCGCACATCCGTCATGCGTTCGCAGCAGCTACGCGCCCGATTGGGCAGTCAGCAGTCTCCAAATTGGCTTGCCGGGCAGACTGTACCCAGGCAGCGCTGTCCGCGGCAGGCGCTGTGCAGGAGCGCCAGCGGCACCGGCCCCAGCAGCAGCAGCGACGACGCCGGCCAGTCGCCAAAGTTGCGGCCTGGCAGCATCGTTTATCGCACCAAAGGTGATCGGCTGGCATGTCGCAAGCGGGGGGTCGCCGATGTGCAGGGCCCATGCAGTGTGGGATATCTTTGCTAATATCTCATTTGCCATGCGCGCCGTGCAGCTGCAATTGCTCACGACGACATTCACGGCTCTGCCAGCCGCCTGCTGCGTGTTTGAACCTACCCATCCGGCCACCAGCCCCACCCGCCCTTCGGCGCACCATGCCAAACGCTGGACCTCGCCCGCCTGCGCGCTTGCAGTGGGCGGCTCCGTGGCGCAACCGGCGTTCCCCTTGACTGTTCCCCTGCTGCCGTTCCCCTCGGACGACGTGCTCACGCCGGGCGCCACCAAGGCAAGGAGGGCAGGGCCTGGCGGGCGGGGTTTGCTGCGCGGGAGCATGCAGGACTGCAGGAGCCGCGCACGAGCGCCGCAGCGACCTGCAAACCTGCATGCTGCTGCACGCATTTGCTCAACGGCTGCAAGCACCTGCAACTGCATGCTGCAGGCTCCCACGCACGCTTCTCTCTGCACTTCACACACACCCACACGCACATAACATGAGCACACACATACACACACATACACACACACGCATTTCCGCGCGTCCCAGATCCTGCACCTCTATGAGGCGCGTTACCTGGCCATGCTGGAGCGGGCCCTGCAGTCGGACCCGCCCGTGTTCTGCCACATCAGCGTGGAGCAGCCCGTGGACCCCGGCACCAGCAGCGCCGCGCGGCTGCCCGGGGCGCTGGTGGGCGACAACTTTGTGCTGGCGCTGGGGACGCTCGTGCAGGTGTGTATGAGTGTGGCGGGCCGCCTCGCGAACTGCCTCACGGACTGCCTGACGGACTGCCTCCCGCAGTGGGTGCAGAGATGTGGATGTGAACGGGGCGGCGTTGCAAGGGGATGCACGGGGTAAGCAGGGGTGACAAGCTGACAGATGTTGGGTCGTGGGCTTCTACTTCGCAACCGTGCAGGAGGATTTTACTCTTCCGCCCCTCTTCCACATACGTCAGGGCACGACACGCTTTTTGCTTGGTTGAGCACCTTCTATCCTGCCCGTTGTTCATCGAATCCCCTGCCCCGCAACCGCCTGCAGATTGTTGAGGTCAAGGCGCAGGGCGTGGGCGCGCTCGTGCGCGTCCAGGCCGAGGGCCGCATCGCGGTGGAGTCCCTCAAGCAGCTGCAGCCCTACATCGCGGGCGCGGTGACGCCGCTGCTGGACGACCCCGTGCCGCAGGACTCCATTGGGGCGGCGCTCAAGGCGGCGGACGAGCTGGCGAGCATGCTGCGGGTGGGTGGGTGCGTGCACGCGCGCATGCTTTGAATGAATGGGGTCCGGTTGGGCGGCCCCGCCGGGCCGCTGTCTGGGTGATCGACGAGGCCACGTGCCACCTGCGGTGAGCGTGTGGAGGGCGCCTTTCGTCCCGGTTCCTCGCGGTGGATCACACGCATCAGTCTCTTGCGGGCCACCCGGGGCTTTGTCGCAGTGCAGAACAAAGGCAATAGGGGCATCTCCAAGTCAATGGCACGAGCTGCGACCCGCACCCACTGTTCTGTATTGGTAATCTTAGGAATGCGCCGATTTGTGCGCCAAATTTGGTGGCATGGAGGCCGCCGCGCTGCAGCAGGCGCAGCTGTGGGCGGAGCGGCGGCCGATGACGCCAGGCCTGGCGCGCGGCGGCAGCCACATAGATGAGCTGGAGCGCGCCAACCGCCTGGCGTGGGCGGCCCTGAGCGCGCTGCCGCAGGCGTCAGAGTCGGTAGGAGTCGCCTTGGGCGCTGCTTTTCTTGGCTGTGTGCGGGGCTGCGTCTACACCTTTTCACAGGGAGCTCTCCCTATGCTGCCAGAGCTGCGTTTCCAGACCTGCTCAGCGCCAATTCATGCCGGCCCCTCATCGCTCGTACTGTTGCATCACGCAAGCGACCTCCAATCCCAATAATCCCGTTGCCTACTTTGCCTGCCTGTCGCAGGAGCTGCGGCAGCTGCTGCGCTACCGACTGGCGGCCATGGCAGCCACCAGCGTTGTCGACCGCCTGCAGCTGGCCACCACCTGCTTGGAGTCGTCGCGCGCCATGCTGGCGGCGCGGGTGGCCCTGAAGTCGCTCAACATCGGCGCGTCATAGGGGCGGGGTGTGAGGGCCTGGAAACGTTCAACTCAATTTTTTTGCACACGAAGCCTTTGTACTGCCTGTTGGTCTGCCGACGCTCAAGCCACCGCACGCCACTTGGCGCGCGGGTTGTAAGGACCAGTGGCCCTGGTTGCCCTAGACATGTGTGACGGCATGCAGCCCAGCCTGTCATCGCAGGGTACTGTAGTGGGGTATGCAGACGGTTGCCACGCCGCCAACAGACACAATTATCAGGGGCCCTGGCCACAGCATCCAGGCGGCCTCTGCCCGGCAACACAGCCTGTCCTGTGTGCGCAGATCCGGCCACAGGTCCTGATGTGATGCACAACTTTCGGACGGTGTGTCAGTGTTGGCAACGGTTTCGTGAACAACGCAGCGGACGGTGGTGTTGTGATGAGAGTGTCTGAGGAAGGTCAGCTGTGATGTGCACGCAGACCAGGAGCTGTCCTGTGCAGCAACCATCAAGTACATCAGGCGCGCCCTGGCAACCCTCACCCACAGCGGTTGGCTGCACGAAGAAGGAGCACTGCAATTTCCCCTTTGTGAATGCTTGGTCCGCCAGCTCTTTGCGTTTTGGTGGTCCAACAGCAGCAGGGCTGGAACCCAGCAGCCTTGGAGGGCCAAGAGGCCGCTGACGCAGGCGGGCAGCCTGCAGGCGGGGGGCACCATTTGAACTATGGGGGCTGATGCGGGAGCACGGTCACCTCGTTGCGCCTTGAGTCCATTCGAGTGCCCACTTGATGTTGTAATCCTATCAAGCACTTTTTGCATCGCTCTCCCATCCAAGCTGGTTGCGCTCTTGTCCCCTTATCCATCTCCATGCCTGGCCCTTGTCCCTCATCACATGACTCCCTTTCCAAGTCAACTCAAAAGCCCACTTGTGCAAGGTTGCACAGCAATCAAAGTCACTGACAAAAAGGCTAAGCAGCAGGCACAGCTGCTCAGCCACAAAGTTGAACATGATGGTGGCCCTGCATTCCGTTTCAGCAGGTAGCAACACCCCCAAAAAGCACACACAACACAATATAAGCGGCCCAACACCACTAATTGTACACCTCTCTTCAACACATGCAGCTACCCAGGCAGCTGGCTGGCGGGGAACGGCCAGTGAGCACTTGTTCAGGGGAGGCCGAGCACGCAATTGCCCCGGCGCTGCTACATGAGCTGCTGCTGCTACTGCTCTTGGGCAGCGCGTCCTGCCAGCTGCTGCGCCACCGCAGCCACCGCAGCCTGCTGCAGCCCGCCTCGCCCCGCCTGCGCCGCTGCCTGCGCCGCCGCCTCAGCATCATCCCGCACATTGTAGTTGCGCACACGCAGACGGGACACGTCGTCCCCGGCCTGGGGCCGCCGCCGCTGCGCCGGCTGTGCAGCCGGCTGCGACCTGGCCCGGTGCGGTGCGCCGCTGGCCCCAGCTGCCGCGGTTCCGTGCCCCATCGGTTCTGCTGGCCCGTCTGGCGGAGCAGCGGCGCCAGCCCCAGAGGCGCAGCGCTGCTGCTGCTGCTGCTGCTGCTGCTGCTGCTGCTGGCCGCCTGTGATGCCCAAAGGGCGCGCCGGCTGCTGGGTGCCAGAGCCGCCTTGGTGCTGGTGGGACGGCCTTTTTGGCTGCATGCCAGTGCCGGTCAACTCGAGGCGCTGACCCTGCTGCGATGCGTCGGTCTGCATGAGCGCGGCTTGCTGCTCCTGCTGCTGCTGCTGCGGCAGCGGCCGCAATTCCGGGGCCCCGCCTGCTGGCAAGGTCACCGCTGCTTGGGGCTGCACTGGCGGCTGCGACCCCGGCCCCCACTGCCCCCACTGCCCCGTCGTCACTTGCTGATGCTCCTGAGGCCAGGCAGGTGGCAAGTGAGGGAACAGCACCGGCACAGGCACCGGGACCGGGACCAGCTGATGCTGCTGCGGCTGCTGCTGTTGCCAGTCGCCTCGCCCTAGCGCGTCCCAACCCTTGGAAGCTGCCTGAGGGGTGGGGGGGGGCCAGGGAGGTGAGCGTGTGCATGTGTGAGTGCTGCCTGCACATGCACATGTATCTCTCCGTGCCCAAATGCAAGTGTACAACAGGACAAAGGTATGTGCACGCGTGTGAATGTGCGCTTGCAAGCAAGAGTATGCAGGACAGCTCCATGAGTGCCAGGCCTAGCAGCGGACCAAACGCATACCGCCGCACCTTCAGTGCGCCCGGCTGACGCATCTGCGTGAGCAGCCTGTCGCGCTCCGCCCTCAGGGCGTTGCTTATCTCCATCAGCCGCTCGTTCTCATCCGACAAACTCTCCACCAGCCGGCGCGCGCGCGCCAGCTCCGCAGCCGCCGCGTCCCCCGCCGCCGGCGCGGGCGTGGCCGCTGGCGGTGCTGGATCCGGCGCCGATTGCGGCTGCGCGGCTGCGGGCGGCTCGCCAGCCTGCGGCTGCTGTTGCTGCTGCAGGTGGCTGCCGGGCAGGTGCTGCTGTGCGCCGTCCAATGGCGGCAGAGGCTGGTCTGCGCCGCCCTCCTCGGCTGCCGCCACGACCGAGCCGAACGACCGCAGGGCGCGCCCGCCACCTTGCACCGCCCCGTCCTGCCCGAGGCCCCCGCCCCCGGACGACATGCGCGCCGCCAGCGCCTCCCGCCGCAGCCGCCGGTTGTCGGCCAGCAGCGTGTTGACCCGGCGCCGCAGGAACTCGAGCTCCCCCTGCGCCTGCCCCTCAAACGCAGCGCCTGCCTGCGGACCCAGCGACCGGCCAGCCGCGTCCTGCTGCTGTTGCTGCTGCTGCTGCTGCTGCTGCTGCTGCTGCTGCTGCTGCTGCTGCTGTGCCTGGCCCTGCAGCACCGCCACGTGCTGCAGCGCGTGCGCCAGCTCATGGTCCGACGCCGCCAGCTCAGCGCGCAGCAGCGCGGCGTCGCCGCCAGCTGCCGGGTCGGCCGCGGCTGGGTGCGATGCGCCTCCATCGGCAGGGACAAGCGCGCCGTGGGCTCGCTCCGAGTCGGGGGTCTGCTCCTGGTGGAGAGGGCTTTGCTGCGGCAAAAGGGGGCATGCGGCGCGATCCGAGGCGTGCAGCTTCTCGACCTCTGCGCGCAAGCCGGCCAAGATGGCGCGGAGCCGCTCGTTTTGCAGCTCTGACGCCGCCAATTCAGCGCGCAGCTGCTGCGTGTCTGCTCTGAGCTCAGTAGGCAGCTCACCAGGCTGCTGAGCCTGCTGTACCTGCTGCTGCTGCTGCTGCTGCTGCTCTGGCTCGTGCAGCTGCCCCTTGCTGCCCTCTGCACGTGCTGACGGTGAGTTGCCAGCTGGACCTTTGGAATAAGACGGGCCCAGCCAATAAGATGCGCCACTGCCCGGCGTAGGGGGCGGGTCCGACAGTGGCCAAGGCAGCAGCACGGACTCTGAAGCAGAGGGCTGGCCAGCGAGGTCGTGCCCATGCAGCCCCGACCGCACAACACGCACGGTCTCTGCGGACGGGGCGGCAGGGACGGGCTGCGGCGGTAATTGCTGCCGCTGCTGCTGCGTGTCAGGTACGCGTTGCTCCTCGTGCTGCTGCTGCTGCTGCTGCTGCTGCTGCTGCTGCTGCTGCTGCTGCTGCTGTGGCTGCTGCTGCCGCTGTTGCTGCTCCTGATTTCCCAGCTCCTGTCGCTGCAAATCAAGCTGTTGTTGTTTTTGCTGCTGTTCCAGCTGTTGTCGCTGTATTTCAAGCTGATTCTGCTGCTGCTGCTGCTGCTGCTGCTGTAGAGCGGCAAGCTGCACCTGCGCCGCCAGCTGCTCGCGCAGCTCTGCCAGCTCGCCGTCGCGCGCCGCCAGCCGCTGCTGCGCCTCGGCCAGCGTAGCGCCCGCCGCGTCCCGCTGCGCGACCAGCGCCCGTATGAGCGCCTCCCCGCGCGGCGGCCCCGCTGGCACGCCCAACGCCAGGCCCAGAGTTTGGCCACCCACCGCTGTCGCTGTTGCTGCCGCCGCTTCGATGCTGTGGGCAACGGCCGCGCCGGGCGGCAGCGCTCCCAGGGCTGCGGCGGCCGCGGCGGCCGCGCTGGCTGCATCCTCCAGGTCATACAGAAGGTCCGCCTGGTCTGCCAGCCGCACCTGGGCCGACACCAGCTGCCGCCGCAGCTCGCCGTCGCGCTCCTCCGCAGCCAGCAGCTGCGCCTGCAATTCGCAGTCGCGCGTGGCGGTCGGCACGCCTGGGTCAACACGCCGCCATCCTTTCAGCAGCTGCTCGGCGCACCAACTGCGGTGCAGCATCTAGATTTGCTGAACCGTGCAAAAGCAGTCCAGCAGTGCATGTGCACGCGCGCACCTTCTGGGCCTCCAGCGCGCGCCGCTGCTCCTCCCTCGCCGCCAGCGCCGCGTCCAGCGCCGCCCGCAGCGCCGCCGCGTCGCGCCGCGCCGCCAGCAGCTGGTCGCGCGCCTCTGACGACGCGGCCTCCGCTATTGCCGCCGCCTCGGCCACGGCCGCCTCGAGCCTCTCCTGCGAAATGGGCGGCGGGGTGTTGATTTTGATACGGTGACAAGCATTGCGTCACTCGAGCTCTGGGGCAGGGTCTGCTACACTGCTTTCCGTTGTGTGCATGCAGGTACTGCAAAGTCCAGCCCGTGTTAGAAACCCAGCGCCGCCGCACCTGCAGCGAGTCTCTCTCCGCGAGCAGCGCCAGCAGCTGCGCAGACGCCTCCTGCTCCTGGGAGTGCAGCTGCGCACGCAGCTCTGACAGCTCTGCCTCGAGGCGCGTCGCCTTGCCTGCGTGTGACGCGGGTGCGTGGCAAGCCGCTTTGACGCGGGAGGCATGATCTGAAAGCCGGGCCTCAGCCTGCATGCAGCTTTGAAGCCCATGATCTCACGCAAGCAAAGCGCAAGGTCTCGTCGTGGATTTCATGCAAGCCGATTCTCATCTACTGGTTTTCGACCATCAATCAAATGCGTGACGTACCCTGCGCCTGCTGCAGCCGTTGCCGCACCGCCGCCGCCGCCTCCTCGCCCCGCCCCTCCGCCCGCGCGACGGCGAGCGCCCCCTCCTCCCGCTGCTGCGCGAGCTGCTGCCGCAGGCCTGCTGCCTCTGCCAACAGGTCAGACACCTGAGAGTCCCCCTGCTGCGCCAGCGCCTGCTGCTGGCGCCGAAGCGCGGCCCCCTCCGCCGCCGCCGCCTCGAGCCGCTGCGCCGAGAGGCGGGCCGCGGCGT